GCACCATTGCATTTGTAGCCTGTGCAACAGGACATTGAGCAACCAGTTTGACCACCGCACATAAGACTTCCCTCAATGGAACATTTMAACTGGTCACCACCATGACAAGCCTTCCAGTACGTCCCATTCTTCTGTGCCGTGAAGCAAAACGATTGATCACCCTCGATTTGACTGCATGCGACCACATACTGGTTGGCTTTGCAATCGGCAGCTGACTTCGTTGAYTTACAGGCGTAGCACTTGGGGAGGTCTGGAAACAAGAACATAGGCATCATAAACACGTGTATATATTGCTTTTTTAACTATAACATTTCATAATATCATCGTTAGTTATACATYTTCTTAATTGCTTGTGGGTGTCCTGTGGAGGAGAGGAGGCTCGACGCTTGTGACTTACCATCCTTTGCATTAGGGTCGTTACAATTTTCATATTTGCAGCAGGACGCATGGCAATTGTTCTGTTGAAAATACGTTCAGAATTTTATAAATTAAACAACTAACGACCTCCGAAATGTAAAAATCGCAGGTGCATATAATAAATGGTATTTGAGAGATTTACCTTGCCCTTGCAAAGATTCGATTCCTCAGATGAAGTGCAGCTRGATATACAGCCAGCAACGGTAACGCGGCTTACAGCACCTCCGGTCTCCTTGTCAGACGACACCTTGTAACAATAGGGCTCCGTATTCGAGCATGTGACTTTGGTGCAGCTATCCTTTCCATTGCATTTCAAACACTTTTGAGCTGTTGGTTCAATATATAAATTATAACAATCCATACTCAATAATGATTCGTTTTCGTTCTTTTATCTCCATATTGTGTATGTTGCTCTCTCTTTTGAGGCTAAAATGAAATGTTTTGATCKTCCGAATTTTTCCTGATAAAGTCTAACAATATAAGCGTTGCTGCACGTTTTTGCACACCGAATCCCACATGTAAGAAATAAACAGCTCTAATCTTTTTCTCATTTTCTTTGTTAGGTCTCGTATTCTTTAATAAAAATACGATAAACGAATCATCGTTTACGTGCGTAAACGTGCGTAAACGCACATATCATGATGTCTTGATAACGTACCAGGTAGACGATACACTTCGTTACGGTAGGACCCTCCAGTACCATCAGCGGCACAATCTGACTTATTACTATATTTGGTATAATTTGCTTCATGATTTTCCCCACTCCAGCACTCGGTGTTAGCCTGAACACCAAATATGGACCAGCCTTTGGCCCTGGTGCTGTCTGCGCATGTCCTGACGGCGGCATCTCTGCTAAATCGACCTAATAGTTTTGGCAACGCCCTTGTAGATTTGTCCTCCCAGCATCCAAGTCTTTGATAAGTTCCCTCTGCAAGAATGTCAATAATGAAATGAGTTGATGTATCAGACCAATTCATCAAACATCATTGTTGCTAATTCAGTTAAAGAGCATTAAAGTTTTAGAAGTCGGGGGATTAGTTGTCAAATATGTCGCCTAACTTGTAATCTGGCGCAAATCATACTGCGGATTTTGTAGCTTAGCTTCTTTATCACAGTCTCCAAGATTTCGGATTTTAGTCACTACTCTTATTTCGAGTTCTGGTTTGCTCTGTGTTAGCCTCAAAACCAAGCAACATATTCTTTTGTTTCATTGATAGCCCAAGAAAACGTATGGAATTTGTGAAGCTGGGAAGACTATAATTGATCTGAAATCTCACACTTTTACTACGCTCACATTTAGGAATATTACAAATGAGGCTAACACAGAACATTTGAGAATTCGAAACTGGAGTATTGATTCCGGATTCCAATCATTGAAATCTCTCTGAGCTGCCCTAGACATCAGACATCAGCTAACCCAAGCTACAAAACAAGCCAATGCATGCACTCATGTACGAATAACGATCAAACACAACTCTACCTTTAAACTGATACACATCGTTGGCCCATTCTCCACCCATGCCGTTACGGCAGTTGCCTGCTACGCCTTGACTTTTATATGTATTCGCTGCATCAGCTGCAGAATAGCACTCTCGACCGTATTGAACACCAAACGTTGAATAGCCTTTCCTTCTCACTGTCTTAGCGCATTGATCCACGGACTTAACATCCCCAAGTTTTTCTTTTATTGCTCTGATGAATGAATCTTTGAAGCATCCGATGCGATTGTAGTCATCACTGGTAGCTGCTCATG